TATTATTATGTTAGTAACTGTCGATGAAATATAAATGCTAATCGTCCAAATAAATATAACTGGTTATCAATCAATGATAAAGCAATATGATAAATGTCTATCAATGATTACAAACAAAAAGACCACAAGTTAATAGACTGATTCGATAAGAAGATTTTTTTTTCTTTATGATAAGCAACAACAGAAATATATTGAAATGATTGATATTAGCAGTGAAAGGTATGCCGTATCTATTTAAAGAAAAAGTCTATTAATAAATACAGGAAAAGAGATGAAGTTGTTTCTTATCTTATTTTTGCTGCATGCATATATACATCCGTTTGCTTTTGTCTATAAACTCTGTTTGTTCTCTATGGGGAATCCGTTTCTCATTATTTTAATTTGGCCAAGTCAAAAGGGAAAAAAAAGCTTTAAAAACTAAATTCACACATCATCGACATGTTATTGTCGTTTCCTGTCTTTCTCATGAGATTCACAGATTTCATTGAAATAATTGAACTATTAATATAGATAATTAGTCTCACAAGTAAAGAAAAAAAAAAAGAATACAGATTTTTTAATATGATGGTTGCTAATAATTGATATTTAAATAAGACACAATTGATAATGAATATTGAAATAATTATTTTAACTTTCTCTCATAGAATTAAATAAAATGATACATACTATTTTTTTTTTGCATAGAATATTATGTCACGAAAGAGAATAGCGTAAAACAACTAGTGTTCATTGACTAAAATAACAAATAAACAAGTCATAGATAAATATTATCTAGAATGTATCAAAAGTTTGTGAACAACAGAAATTGACGAAAAAATTTATTAAGTTATTATTTGTTCAAATACATCTGATAAAATAAGAGAAAATTATATTACATAGTTTTGTACTTGATAAAGATCACTTGTGCGTCAACTCGATTATTAATCAAATGTACCTCAGAAAGGCTAAGATGACATAGTGTTCTGTATTTTTGAACAACATATATAGATTGTTCACCTTGTTAAAAGCAAATGCAATCAATAGGATTTGAATAAAGTTCCCTCTTAGCTGATGGATTTTAAAATATAATGTATCCCAACTAATGCAATCGGTGGTTTGGGTAGTACATACATGCAAATATGAGTGGTTGAAATTTTGTCAATATGACTCTGGGTAATAGTCCTTTGGGACGAATCAGTGAAAGTACGATGAACTTTTGCAATCTATTACAAAACAATATTACTATAGAATACATGTAGTAGCTGAAGCTAATATTGTTAGAAAATCTGTATGAAAATCATACATTACACTCACTAATGTAGTCGATAGAGATTTTTGTAATACATATTTAATTCATAGTCAACTTAGCAAAATATCAGAGGATGTATTGGTGAAAATTTTATTGAAGAAATTTCGAAACCCCGTAAATATACATGATGATTCATTTATATATATAGTTTTTTTTTTCTACATTATTTCTTAACCAATTAATATCCGATAATATACATATATATGTCACAAGAAATGGAAATCTCGTGGAGAAGGAAAATGAGATTTTGATCAAACTCTTATTAAGATTAACACAATAGATTATTGAAGTGGTATTTTCAACATAGATTGAATTTATCGAAATTTCTGACTATATTTTAATATCGTACAACGCATTCAAAGATACCATACTTTAGAAGAATGAATTTTGGCTTTCATCTTTTTTATTAGGATTAATCAACATAATCCTAGAAATCTCTTGAGAAATCGTAATTATGTAGAAGACAATATTCGGAATGCGCCAAGTACTCAAACATGATGTCAAAAATGATTCCTTATTTAGAACATAGCTCCTGTGGATTATTTTTATCATCTTTTTTATTAGGATTCAAAAAACTTAATCTAAAAATACTTTTGAGAAGAAGTGATTATGTAGGAGACAATATTACTAGTGATGCATCTATTTCTAAAAACATGATATTAAAGATGACATTAATCTTCTTATTAAGAATGTAGTTCCTGCGGACTGGTTATATTAATAATTATCAACTTTTTTTTTGTCCTATCCACAATTGTAGTCGAAATACATGAAATAAAAAATGAAGATTTGCGAATTAGTTAAAAATTCGAAAATTTTAGATTTCTTCGATGAATTTAAAATGATTATGACATTTGTGGTTTGCAACGACAAAATCTAAGAATAGATTTGAAAAGAGCGTTCGAAACAGAATATAAATGACATGAAGAATCGCTAGGGAGTCGCCAATTTTTAGTACTAGAAATATTCTAAACTTTAATTAGATATTCAACATAGTGGCTTTTCCCTGCTTATAAATACACATATGTCTAATATTGAGGATTATAGAACTCCTAGCGCGTCTTCATGCCAGTTTTGTTCCGTTTTAAACGCTTTTTCAGAATCTGCTCTTGAGTTTTGTCTAATGCAAAGCAGTCGTTTCAAAATAATATCGAATTAGTTGAAAAAACGTGAAAAATGTGAAATTTGACTAATTGTGAAATCCTTATTTTCTATTTCATGTATTTTGACTACCGTATCAGATAGGGGAAGAAAAGACTGATTCTAATTGAATAAGAAAATCCACAGGTGCTACATTCTTAATAAGGAAAAGAATGTCATCTTTGAGATCATGCTCTAAGAATTGGTGAATCTCACAACAGTATTATAATTAACTTGATGTATCTTTTTTATTTTCAATAAAATTATATATCACATATTTTTGTCTGATGACCTAGAGTATCATGATTAAATAAAACTTTGATATTTGTTTACTACTGATCATTAATCATTTGATATTTATCCATGTAAAAAAACTGAGTGAAAATCAGATTATAATCTATTATAATGGCACTATTATAATCTGATTTTAACCAGATTTTTCAGCCTTAAAGACAAATTTCTTTTGATTTTAATCTATTTTAATTGATTAACAAACTTAGATCGATTAAAACTGATTATTTAAATCCATTTTAATGGGTTGAACTTTGTTAATCGATTAAAATAGATTAAAAAAGATTAAGATGAAAAGAATTCTGCCTTGAAGGCTGAAAAATCTGATTAAAATCAGATTATAATAGTGCCATTATAATAGATTCTTAATCAAAAAATCATCGATTTTAATCTAATTTTAATCACTTCTTTTTTACATGGATAAGTCTAACTGAAAGTTCTGGCAACGTTGCTAATAATTTAGTGAACCCGTTAACATTTAAGAGTTCATTGGATAAATACATAGTAGTGTCTTGTTTATAATGAGCTATATATAAAAAAAACTCTGTTGGGTTTAGTTTTAATATACTTTCATACAAAACCCAACACTAACAAGAAAAATTTGAAAAATAGATAACGAATTCGATTGGTACTGTAATAAAACTCGAACTATTTTGGAAACATATGCAAAGAAAATTCAAGAGAAACTTAAAACATCATTGAAGTCTATTGTTACATCATACTGAACAGTTGAAAAGTGGGCAAAGTGTTGTCATTAGATAAAATAATATGTCAACGATGAGTCTCTATGTAGAGGTTTGATTGCCGAACTGATACAGATGTCTTAACTCTCATGGTATGATATAGCGAATCATCCACAATTGTGTGAAGATGAGAAAATTTTCATGATGTTGATTGCCTTATCAACTCAATGATCAACAAAAACCAAAATGAGTTAGAATTTATCATAAAAAATTAGTTCAACGTCGTGATGGATCATGATAATTATGTGATATTATTACAGGTGATGAGATATAGATTTATCATAGATAGGCTAGCATGCCAGTCAACTAGCGCAAGCTGAATTAGTGAAGGTGAACCACCGATGACTATTGTTCGTCAAAGTAGATCTGAACGAAAAAATATGTTGCTTTCTATATTCATTAAATCAAATCGCATGTAATTCGAACCGACAAAAATCGTTGGTAGTTCCACCGAGTTTTTTTTTGAAAGTACTGTATCATTGTGTATTGCATCGAAACGGATGAAGCCTTTTTCGGTCCGTTAAAATCAACAAAATTCAGTCGATTTCGATGTATTTCAATAGTGTTGATGCGTCTGAGCCGCCTGTACTAGTCATCGTATTCGAAACAGTCCAAGTTCTAAGACGATTCTTTTTATGACAGTTGGTACTGCAAAAGTTTTTATTAGTAAAATATATTGTGAAACTATGTTTTTTTTTTCGATGAGTTTGAATTGTTTTTAATAATTTATTCAAATTTGAACAGAAAGCACTCGGTACAATCGTTTATAATTAGAACTAAAAATCGTAAGCGCTACAGCTGGTTCTTAAGAGTATCACAATATATCGGCGGTATTGTGAATAAATGTGATACGAAATAGTTCTGTTTTTATGTGCAGTGTAGATTAAGGCAGGATCATAAATCACAATTATTATGTTGAAAATTGTTTCAAACCGATTGTCAATAAAATATAGAAACAAAGAAAGTCATTAAATGCAAAAGGTATAACATAATTTTATGACAGTGTTTGACTTCGCATGCATCCATTTGTTATTAATTATTTAACAAAAAAAACGGTATCAATATAATGTTACGTTTACCGTTTTCACTAGACTTTTCATAATACGAATTTTACCTAAATGATTATATCAATCGTGCTTTAACTGAATAAACAAATACAAGTCGATTGACACCGCACGATTTCCAAGATAACTTTAAAAAACATTTGATAAATTGGTTGGAAAAGATAAAACTTTAAGTACATATTTATGACTATTCTTTTAAACAATCAATAAATTAGAATTAAAAATATCTCTTTATTTTTAATTGAATGTTGTTTGAATTTTCGATCAACCCTAAGCATCTTGCTTGATCTATTTCATATGTTTCTTATCAATTAATACTATATTTTACTACACATCTTCTTTTACTTTATAATAATTACTAAAATTGAATGTTTTCATCATACAAAAAAAGAATATCCTATGCTAAATACAAGATGTTTTTTTTTGTTTTATTTGATTTCATTATTTTAAAGTTTATTAAGTACCAAAAACTGATGATCATCTTGAATAAAATGATTGTCCGAATTTTTGTGATATTGCAAGTGGTTTTGAAAAAATAAAATCTTGATGAAGAACATTTTTTCCATCATAACCATTTGATTCATGAACTAATTCTAGACCAGTACGTAGAAGTATTTCAAGAATTTCAATCAAATTCATATCTGGCAATTCAACACAACCATAATGTTTACCTTCAAGACGTTGTCCAGAATAATCACCGGTTATTGAAGAAGCCCTTTGTGAACGTCCAAACGTACTAATTGATTTACGTCTCATTGGACCACGAATTACTTTTAGTGTAGATGATGATTGAGGAGATGTTGAAATTTCATTGTTTGTTGAAATAATGTTCGATGCATTTGCATCATTCTTATTAATATTTTCATTTCCTTGAGAAGTGACTAATGAATATGTTTTATTCAGATCTGATTCACTTGAATTCTCATAAACAGTTATAGTTGATTTATAACGTTCAAATATATTGCATAAAAATTGTAATTCACCGAAAATAAGTATTTTAGAAGTAATTGAAAATAAAGAGTTAGAATCACTTTCACGTTTTAAGTAAATTGTATCTGTATATCGATATTGTTGATAAGGTAAACTTGTTTCGCTAATTGATGATAATCTTCGACGACCAACATTAAGTACAGATTCAAGGTCAAAACTACCTATATTAGGAGAAAAAGACATTCGTATCTAAAGAAAAGAACAAATAATTACTAATTCTAAACATAAATGAAAAACTAGTATAATATTAATGTTCTTTATTATTTTCTTTTTTTGAATACATAGTTGTTTCGAGTTTAGTGAGTTTTTGTATCAATAATTGGTAAAGAACGAATATTATCCTGTATATCTTTATTACGTAATAAAATAAATTCTTGTAATTTAGTTGTTGATGCAAAATTTGTTGAATTAGCCACAATTGAAAAATAATGCTTATGTAAAATTTCTAATACTTCAATTAATGACATTGTTGGTAATTCAATTGTTGTATAAAGTTTTCCTGATAGACGATCATGATTTTTAACCATTTCAGGATCATCATGATGAATTTTAATATGCGATGTATATTTTTGAAATATATCTGTTAAAACATGATAATCACCTATTGAAATAAATCATAAAATTAAATAAGATTTTTTGTAATTGAAATATGTAGAACAAACCATGAAATACACATCGTGCGTCTTCTTTAAGTATATCATTTGATTTTTCCACTTTTAAAATTATTATATCGGTATAGCGATAAGATTCTACAGGTGGTGCAAGACCTGCGTTGGATAATCCACGACGACGAACTTGAAGAACTGATTCAAGATCAATTTCGGTTGTTGACATAGTCCGTTGTTGATTGTTTTCTGTTGAAAATGACTATATAAATATGCATGTATATATATATATTTCATTTTTTAATGTATAGATCATACCGATGAACGTGGACTCGGGCCCGTATCTCGTCGTTCATTTGCAGATGATGCTGCAGAGCCTCTTCGTATTTTTGATGCTTCTTCAGACATTTACTATGTCGAATCAATTTGTATTTCTTTTTATTGTATTTCTTATCTTTTATGATTGATTCGTTTTCGAGAATCGTAAAAAGCAATTCTCTTTTTCTTCTTTACCTGTTGCACAAAATGCCTGTGGTATTTACAAAAAGAGATATTCGACTCGTATTACTCAATAACAATTGTTGCTCGTCAGATTTTTTTTTGTCTCTGTCCTTTTTCTTTTTTTTTTCAAACACACAAAATTAAATGAGAGTCATATGAAGAATATCGGTAGTGATAATCAACGAAAAAAGAGAGAGTGTATGTAATCTTATCGTCAAGTCAAACAGAACCAACATGCTTTTATTGTATAATACTTTAGATGCATCTACGTATCTTTTTTTTTTCTTTTTCGTAACATACAACGCTTTTTCTTTTTCGTATGCCTGAATAGATTAGATTTAATTGGCTTTAAAAATGATCGAGAAAGGATAGAGGTGCATGAGAATGTATTTTGACTTCTTTGTTTTCAAGGTCTAATCTAATTGTGGTATATATAGAATGAAAGATCATGAGTTCCTCATCAATTTAATGCTAAAATTGAGACATTTTATTTCGATTATAGTTGCGAACAGGTTTCATCTTTACAGCATACGAAATGAACAGTGAGCTATCGATACTAGTTAACAATATGAGTATTCTTTCGACAGAATACAAACAAAAATGAAGAGTGGTTTAAAGTTATTCTGATCATATTTTGTTTAAACTGCATTTCTATAATGGATTCATTCATTTAAAATCTTCCTTTGAATATACTAGATCATGTATATAAATTTTTCTTTGTTTAGATTTTGAGTATGAAAAACTCATGAACATTTCATTTGTCGTTTAATTATTTTGTTAATAGGACTTTCTCGACACTAAATTCACTTTGTAATTAATAGAACTTTTGGAATGCGACAAAGCGAATAACGTTTTATGTTGTAAGATAGTGAGCTGCATAACCAAAGTCCTTAGTCCATTATTCGTGAGGACTTATTTGCAAATTTTTCGTCTGATATTTGACAGCATTAAAGCACACTGATAACCATTTCACTGCAAGCAAGCAATATATTATGAATCAACATAAAAAAGTGATTTGACTTATGTATGTGTCAAACTTCTTTTATGACTGTTTTTTCTTATCAAAATTTCACATCTGGATCTCTTAGAGATATGTAGATAAAAGAAGTTTAATCAGCACAATTATTTTTTTGTTTAGTCACATGTCTTGTTACCTTGAAACAGTGTAATACAGGTTTAAAATTTGTTTTCCACTAGCTGAATGATTTTTTGATGAATTTTAGTTTTTCAAACACCCTTGAAGGTGCCCAGCTGAGAAGTTTTGATCAGAAAAAGTGACAGAAAAAGTTTGAAGCATAAATAAGCTAACTCATCTTATTGTGCTGATCCCAAATATGTTGTTTGTTTGAAGTAACATATATATTATTCTACTTCAAAAATGTCAAATATCAGTCAAAAAATTTGAAAATGATGCCTCACGAATAATGAACTAAGACTTTGGTTATGCAGCTCACTATCTTACAACATAAAACGTTATTCGCTTTGTCGCATTCCAAAAGCTCTATTAATTACAAAGTGAATTTAGTGTTGAGAAAGTCCTATTAACAAAATAATTAAACGACAAATGAAATGTTCATGAGTTTTTCATACTCAAAATCTAAGCAAAGAAAAATTTGTATACATGATCTCGTATATTCAAAGGAAGATTTTAAATGAATGAACCTATTATAGAAATGTAGTTTAAACAAAATATGATCAGAATAATTTTAAATCACTCTTCATTTTTGTTTATATTCTGTCGAAAGAATGCTCATATCGTTGACTAGTATCGATAACTCACTGTTCATTTCATATGCTGTAAAGATGAAATCTGTTCACAACTATGATCGAATCAAAATGTCTCAATTTTAGCATCCAAAGGATTAGAGCTACAGAATATTTCATACTACATATAATTCTATTAATTTGGGTCTTAAAAATCAAAAGGAGACCCATATGGGTCTTTACATGCCTTCTGTCCTTTGTAAGCATACACACATAAAATCGATTGATCAATGTGATCTATTATTTGTTCTTGAGAACATCGTGAGACAGGGACGGTTTAATAATCCATTGCTATAGAAATTTTGAACTTCGCTGAGAAAAAAATTCTACATTAAAGTGTTCTCTATTTTAACTGGTTTAATTCAATAAAATAGATGTTACTATTAATGCTATTATATGGTTCCTATTTTTGTTTTTTGCGTATTTCGTATTTCAAGGTAAATTAAAGAAGACCATATTACTAGCAACAATATGTACTATTGACGGCTGTATGCTCTCTTAGACGTTTCCAACTATAAAAATGAAATAAAAAGATGGAAAACACGCTTCCTGTTATTCTAACGCATGTTAATAACTCATTTATATGAATTACAATATTTTATTAAACAAATGAAAGAAAAAATTAATTTTTTTCTTCTTTAAAATACTAGAAATAAGCATAGTTGAGAATAACGAAATCTCCTATTGTTGATTTGAGGCTCAAATTTTAATGTTTAGATACAGTAAAAATGATGTACATTCTCAGAATAAGTATTCAGAGTTTTAAAAACGATTAAATACGATGAATTTCATATGAAAAGACCTAATTTTTTTACATCTTAGATCATCAATAAACTAAGAAAGAATTGAAAATAATGATTACCCGTGGAATTTTGCTGAAGAGTATGATGATATTTTGAGAAATTAATATTATGAGTTACATTCTCTTCAGCTACAATTACCAAACACGAACTGCTTCTCTATCGATTCACCTACTGATATCAGAGGTCACAATTTACTAAACTAGAACGAAAAAAAACAGTCTCGGTTTAGTTCATCGGACGCTTATCTAATTACATTCGATAAATTTTTAACTCATGAATAAGCAATTTTATCTCGACTTTTCGATGACATATTTGATAATGTGTAAAACCTTCAATTTTATCGAATCCATCAGTATTTTCAAATTTTTTAGTTGGTAGGTCAAAAACTTTCCAACATAAAAGATACGTTTGATTTTTTGCTTTTAGTCCTAATATATATCGATGCTTGTTTTTTTTAAAGAAAAATGATCTGTTCGAATGTATAGTGTATTATATATGATGAAGAACCAGCATCGATAGTTAAAGATACAATGTTAAGCAAACTTAATGATTGTGAAAGTTCTGTAGGATTAGAATTAGAATCAGAAAAAATAATTGATGATGATGTTGTAATTGTTGATGAACGAAGAAGCTAGGCACGGACATTTTCTTGAATGTAAAAACAATTGTGTAAGTTGACAAAAACTTCATCTTTTTCTTTGCTTTGGTTTATATATTTGCTGTTCATCACAAATCAAACCTATATCGCACGTTTGTTCGCACTACCACTGGTCTACCGCAGTACTCATGAGAATCCGCGGTGGTAGTATACTTACGAGTTTCAGTTCCTACAATAAACGATTGCAGAGAATTTTCGGTCCTTAATTGAATTCTTCACTAACTATTATTCAAATTAAATGAGAAGGAAACAGTTTCAGAATATATTTTACATAACAATAATTTTTGCAGCGCCATCTGTTATAATAATCTGTATTTTAATAAGTGAAGTTGATTTAGGATCTGTAGCTGATAGAAGTGGCTCAAATTCCTTAACATAAGTGGTGTGCATCGAGAACTACTTACATATTTCATTTTTAACAAACTTTAAAAATATTCACCCGTTTTGATACAATACACGATGATGTAAAACATTAGTTGTTCTGCAAGTTGACGATACCCTATACATTAATTGGTTCAATCGGCAGATCACATCAATGAGTGCCAGTGAGATCATCAAACAATGTAGATGCCGCTGATTTATAGAAGTAATCATCTACATCAAACACAAAAGAAAAGGCAGTAGACTGCTGTTATAGAGTACGCCATGCCGGTCGGCATACCAGCGGTAGTTTCTCAGTAATTATCACATGAATCTTCTTTAGTATACATTGAATATTTGTAATTGAATATGACATAAAAATAATTTTATTTTACTTTCAAAACAATACTTTCAATCAAAATAATTCAATTTATTTCAATACATAATACTTGAACAAAACATATAAAAACATAAATACTAAACAAAACTCATTTATTAAAATAGAGAAATAATTTTCTGAATATTATTCTATTATGATAAGAAAAATTTTTCTGATTGAAATTCTAAATCACACAATTTTTCAGGGCAACTGTTTCCATTAAAAACATGATTATCCATGATTTCAAGATAGCCATAGCAAATGTAACTAATGACAACGTGCCTCTATGTTTACATTTGCTAATCTAATGTTTCCATGCATTCTAATCACCAATAATAACGCATACAATAATAAAAAAAAAACGAAGAAAAAGGAAGATGACATTCTGTTATCAATAGTATGCCATTTAACAAAGATAGAGAATCATTCATAAAAAACACATGTAATAATATTTTGAATTTTTCGGCATGTTTAAATAAGAATTATTAACTTAAACTGATTTCGAATACTATAAAATGGCACACTCAAAATCATCTAAAACTGTATGAAAATATTGTTTGTTTTTTAATACCTATAAATAAAATCAATTTTTTTAAAGGTATCAAATTCCACAGTTTCTATTTCTTCATCTTCATCATCAAGATATAGTGGATTTATATCATGTTCTAAGGATGTCAAGTCTAAAATAAAAGGAATATTTAGTAGACATAATCAAGATGAACATGCTAATTTAGCTCAAGTTGTTGCTTGTAAACGTTGCGCAAAAAATCCAATGCTGTTTCTTGCTGTAAGGAAATAAACACTAATCATATCTGTTACAAAACATAATTTTTTTTATTCACAATTTAGAAACGTCGACGTATACGAAACAAAGCCTTAGGAAATATGGATAATTCATATACAGATGATAATGATGGTTTAGTGGCTTTAACATTATCAGAAACAACACTTCCATTTGAACATGTAGCTCAAACATTTGATGAATATGCACGAAAAGTTATTATTTGAAATATAATTTATTTGATTGTTTGTTTTTTTTTTGTTTTGCGTGTTTTAGTTAGAAGAAGCTTTAATATTACTAAGAAATCTGAAACGAGACGAATATGAAAGTCAAACAACCCTTAAAATTCTTTGTTTTATTGAAAATTTAATTCATCAACCAAAAGAATGGATATCAGGAGCAAAATTAAAATTATCTGAAATGAGATTTCCAGGTTAGAATTTGTTTTTGTTTTTTTTTTGAATTAATTAAAATTGATTTTTATAGAAATGGCAATGACTTTAATGAATACTTATAAAGAAAAAGGTTATTTAGTAAGAAGTGTGGTTTTTGTTCATAGCATATTACTTTATAATTCAATGACTAATTTTACTGATTATGAATTTGATAAAGAAGGCCTTATTAGAAAAGTATTGCTTTAAAAAAATGTGTGAAAGATTTAATTTATTATTTATTTTTGTAAATCATTTTAGCAATCAGCTGATGCTGGTTTTATTGAATTTGCTTGTGAGATTCTTAGTGATTCATCATATCGTGAATCATTAAGAAAATATTATATTATTCAAAGTCCAGAAGAAATACGACAAAGTGATGATTTTAATAATTATCAAGTTTGATTTTATTTTTATATTATTTGTAATACACTTTTGTTTTACATTTAGAAAATTTTGTACATTTGTGATTCTGCACTTACTATTCTTTATAATTTAGCAAATTTACCAGAACTTAAAATTCATTTTCGAGAATGCAAAGTAATGCCTGTAAGTGTTCGATTGACTAAGATTATGCAAAAAACACTCTCTATGATTGTGTATGCACGTCATCTCTCAAAAGTCAACGAAAAAATTTGAAGTGAATAACACTTAAGCAGTTCAAGCGATTTATATAATCTTTTAGTAATATTATAGTAGATTCTTTGAAGTTTCGTTCTGTATATTCTCAGATAATTATCCATACTTATAAATATTTGAATAAAAATGGTGTGATTAACGGCCAAATTTAAGTTATCTATCGTTTTCAATACGTTTGAGAAATTAGTATGATAGTAAATGAACAACGACCTGAAAGAGCTTCAAAAATTACAGAAGAGAAAATAAGCGAAGTGTATGATGGTTAGCAAAATGTACTACTAGTGAGGGTACACGTCGTTACAATAATTTCTCTCACTGATAAGAACAGTAACAGACAGAATTATGACGTAATGTCTATTAATGAAGTCGCACAAAGTGCAATTTGACCAAAACCTTACAAAGAAGGTTCATAAGATCAAGATGAAATTCTCATATTTTGATATAAATATTAGAAAATATCAACAATCAAAAGAATTCGTTTTCTTTTCTCCGACGAATCCTATTTTCATTTAATCCTTTGAGTATCATCGTACTTTATAAAGTACACATTTTCTAAGTTTTTGAATTTTTCAATAATTCACAAAAGCGAAATGATATGGAAGTACGGTTTTCTCTATGACATAAAGTAGATTTCGTTACATACATTTATATAAGAACTATAATCACAATGAGCTCATTCAAGCAGTAAGCCTGATAGATTTGTGAAACACCATCTCTATTCTAAAAACGAGGAGAACAGATAATGACCTTATGTGATCTTTAGAATATTTCATTTCTTCCGTGTTGGCATCAAGTTAGGAATGATTTCTAGTAATATTTCAAATGTTGATTTTGCGACAGCTCTCAATCAAGTTTTGATGCACACCTGTACCCACCCTCTTTCAAGGGAAATGGTCGAAAGACTTCTTCGGTATCCTCTTGTGGAAATATGGATATTGGTCGATAATGACTTTAAAGATTTTTTAAAAGTTTGAATGAAAATATTAATATTGTGCTATGAGTGTCTTGAATATGAAAACTGATAGAAATTTGTCTCACAGGCAGAGTCACGATACTTAAAAAAATTAAATGGCTTATCGCTAACTATAGACTGAATATCTATGTGTATAAAACATATAAATATTTGTTCGAATTGAAAATAAAAATCGAAAACAGAAACATATTAATTTGACAATAAACTTTCTTTACTGCTTTTAAGATTTCCAAGAGAATGGATTCATGTACTTTTGTTCATGATTTATATTTAACTAGATTATATGAAATAAAACTCAAAAGAACATACTATCATATTATAGAAGTAAACAACTAAATCTCTTGAAAAGTATGAGAAATATGTACGTGAACTTTTTTGCACGAACTTTTGGAATACCCTGTAAAATGTATCTCCTATGACTATCAGATAATAGACTTACGATGACTATGCGTTTTTAACATCAATGTCATAATTCCATAGGTCAAAACCTTCTTTTTGTTTTTCTTCTGCGAAACATTTTTGAAAAGAAAGATAGTGATATATGAAAGTGTATATTATTACGTTCCAAACAGAACGAAAGAAAATGATTCATTTCATTGTACTGTTACTAACAGTACAAACATTTTTGTTTTTTTTTCGTTTTCTTTCGATAATCAAGATAACATAACTCAGCTTAATATTTGATGTACTCTTATTTGAAAACGTCCGACAAACAGTTTACAAAAGAATATTCCAGCTAGGTAGGTATTAAATATAGAGCGTCTGCCCTTTCTCGATTATATATAACTGTTCTTTGCTTTTTTTTTTCTTAATTCGAAGTGTTTTCAATATTAGAATAAGGAAAAACCTGTAGAACTTCTATCAATAACTAACTCGTAGCTAAGTTATGGTAGGAGAAAAATGAATCATAACACTAATTGAAGTTTAAACACTGAGAGTTACATACTCATCTATCGAAGTAAGCTGTTAAAGCATAATTTAAGTTTATACGTTGTGTAGTCTATAATCTTTCTATGAAAGTAATCTAAACCATATTGATGATGATACACACATATCTAACATTCATATTCAATGTAATTTGGATTTCATACAAGTGAATTAAACTCAAATGTGTTTTGAATATATATCTCGAGAACGAAGTAACATTGAAATCGAACTCTCTTAGAAAACTTTTATGTGTTAATTTGATTTTTAGCATTTTACCAAAACATCATAAAAAATCAACATTATTCATTAAAACTAGATTAAATCAGAGTAATTTCGAAAAAAAAATCAGGATCACTACAAAGATTATAAACTATTCATCAAGTTCTATATAGCTCTGTGAATATGGAAGACATTCATTTATTCTTCAAATTTTCTTTTTCAAAATAAATTTATATAGATAATTACTGATTATACAAAATTACCATCAAATACAATACAAATTCAATTTTCTGAAACAAGTGAAAATGAAGAGTACTTCGTTATTATAAAAGAATTACAAAATCTAAGTAGTGCTATACGTGTTACGTCATGTTTATTATTAACATTAATAATGAATGAAGATGAAGATAATTTTTTAGCTACAAATACATCCGGTAAATAAATATTTATCATTAATTTTGTTAATATAGAAATTATTTTTAATTTAGATGTTATTCCATTATTATCTGGAATGATTCAAATGTATAATAGAAATAATGAAAGACATCATGGATTTTCTTTTATTGAACTTGTCGATGGTTTATCGAAATTAATGGTTCGTGGTCGTACGCATGCATTTATTGATCAAGATCTTATAAATCTTCTTCTAAATATTCTTGAGAATTCTGCACAAAATAATGATTTACTTGAATGTGTATCAAATGCAATATTAAATGCTTCATTTGATGAAAAAGTTCAGCAACTTCTTGATTCAGCTCGTGCTATTCGTATAATAACATTTGCACAAACTAATAGTCGAAGTCAAATTGTTCAAAAAAACTGTGAAGCTATTCTGTGGACTCTTAATCGTATTCCACATAAACGTTGCTCAACAATTAATAGTTCATGTCAACTTCAAGGTCATATTATGATATCATATAATCGATCAGTAATAGCAATGTGTTTAAAAATTCGAGATCGTCTTAAAGTAAGTAAATATTCTTCGTTTTAGTTTTTTTTTTAATTTTCTTTTCTTTTCGATAATTAAGGCTTTACACTATAATGTGTGGCTTGATGTTGATAATTTAAATGGTGGTGTTTTAGAAGCAATGGCGCGAGCTGTTGAAGATTCATCTATTGTATTAATTTGTATGAATGAACAATATAAACAAAGTTATTATTGTCGACTTGGTTAGTTTTATATGTAAAAAAAAAAAAAAAACTAAAACTTCTTTCTTCAACTCTATTTGTTCTATGTAGTCACGTTTAATTTGAAACGAAATTCTTCATTAAACGAATTTGGTTAGATATAAATAAGAAAGTACGATCAAGAAAGTTTGAGTTTGTTCATATGTAAAGATAGTGTATAATTATTCATGATTTATCATTATTATTATCGACTATTTATTCTCGATTATAGTTGAATTCATCGACAAAAACAGTCAGAGAGCTGTCGATGATTAACAACTTTATTAAGTCGTAACACTCTTGGAATTTACTTCGCTTTAGTTACAATATTACAGATAAACATTTGAATACCAAATTTCATCAAGAGGTTAGCATCCATTTTTGTATCATCTATTGATGAATTGCATCAAACATGATCATCTATGTCAAAAGTTCATCTAAACGATCTTTGCTTAAATGCAAAAACTCAAAGTATGTTGTCACTTACGTGGGAATCACTCAAGATGAAATCGTATTAATTACGCAGAGCTTATTGAGACTAGAAGAAATCTAGATGAATTCTTCTCCATGCGCTGCCATTTTGGATTTATGATCATAACACTGAATTTTGTATTTTTAGCATAGTATTTATAGAAACAAATCGGACAAATGAATTTTGATCTAAAAGTGTGTCCATAGACAATTTTTGAACTTATTAGAATTTCCTAAAAATTTCAACCAATAAAAGGAATTTTTTCTTGAGATATCAAATTTACAAAGAAATTAGATTTTTCATCGTTTTAGTAGAATATAATGAGTTTTTGTGAATTTTATATCTCGAAATGACATCATTCTTTCGGCTGAACTTTTAAAGAGATTCTAATGACTCAAAGAGCTATCTATGGATATAGTTTAGACCGAAATTCGTTTGTGCAGTTTGGTTTATAAATACCACGCCAAAAGTGCAAAAGTCTCGTGGAACTGTCACGGCTCCAACAGGTAACGCATGGGAAAGAATTCTTCTAGTGCACAATAGATCCTACATAATGACTAGGATCTCATTTCAAAGGTGAGTTACTACCTAGGGTAGTTTCCTAGTCAGGGTTTGAACAAAATTTTATTTACTACTGTGTCAGAATCTAATGAGAGAGCTGTTTTAACTGATCAATCACTTTTGCAACGAAAGCTACTAATCCCTAGGTTATCGAACATACTGATGCAGAATAGGAGCATTAGAAATAATATTCTACGATCTTCATATGTTGGTGTTCCAGTCTAAATATATATTCGTCTGAGTTTTCTTTTAATTTCTGTAGATCATGGAGCATATCGCATTGTCCTGAAATTAAACACTTTTTCTATTTCAAATCGTCTTTGTTTTTGTTTTTGGAGAAAATACATTTGTTATAATTCATGCAACGGATACATATATAAAACAACAATTATTGTAAAAATCCTTAAGATGATATTATTTTACTGAGAACTCATTATTAATAAAATAGAAAAGGTCATTGTCTTGTTAACTACTTGACATGCTCTATAATTTGAGTAGATTTAAAACGAATTTGGCAAAGTGTTTGCGATTCTGAAAAATCGATTTGCGAAAAACAACAGTAATATGAAAATCTAAGATGATTTTGTCTTGCTCCTATTCGGCATCAGCATAATTGATAATCTATCATCCAGCGATTTTTACTGAGAAAGTCATTGACCAATTAAAAACGTTCTCTCGTAAGTCTTTACAAGTGTAAACTATAGAACAATTGCTTTCATTTGAGATCAAACAGTGTCATATTGATTGCAAAAAAAACGAGAGGAAAACTCTTTTCAAAAGTAGTAATATAAAGTCCATTATGTTTATGTGTTCTTTTTGTATTTTAGAAGCAGGTATGTTTTGAAAAACTTTATTGCAAAAACTTTACGTCTACTTTTTCAAAAAGAATATGCAACGGAATTGAGAAAACCATGTATTCCATGTTTAATGCAACCACGATTTCGACCATACGGATGGGTAAAGATATTAGGAAATCAAATATCTACATTTATATTTTCATTTTTTTCAAATTTAGCTGGGAATTATTAAAGGAGCGAAAATTCATGTTGATTTTGCAACATTGTCGTGAGTGAAAGGTTGATCTTTTTTAAACTATTAAAAAAATATTTAATTTAGTTTTGAAGAAGCATTTGCATTATTAATTCGTGAAATAGAAACAATAAGACGAAATATTATGACGAAAAATAATCATAATATTACACAAGATACAACTAACCAACCTCTTTATCATCAACATAGTATTGGTTTTACTTCTATTGATAACAAAAATGTTGATAATGGTATGTGCTTTATTTCTATCTAAAAATTGTATTTATTCAAGTTTATTCTAAAAAGTCAAACTATCAGAACTGAATAGTACATCTCCGATTGGAAAAGAAAATAATGTTGTTATGGATTGGGATGTACCTGCGGTTAAACAATGGTTAGAACATGTTGGATTATTGCAGTATGTGTATTAAATAAATGTAGCAGAAAATAATAGATGTCTTTTTCTTGTTTAGTTTAGAAAATGCTTTGATAGATGTTGATGGAAAATTACTCTGTCGATTACATACAATGAAACAGTTAGCTGCAAATTCATATTATAAATTTCTTGATAAGTATTTCGATCGCATTCAAACAGCACGAATGAGTGACACACTTAAGTTTGATCATGAACTTGAATATCTTTTTCAATAGCATCGAATTAAATAATCTATTTTTGTATTAAATTCAATATTTTTCTTTCATGCGCATATCAACTGTTCTTTTTTTTTTAAATATATTTGATGCTCAAAAAAAAAATTTTCAAATCAAATCAAATAAACTATTAATTATTGATATTTAATAAACAAAAAAAATCATTACAATTTTTCATTTTTAAAATGTTTTGAGTGAATTGATACCGACAAATCAAATTTCTAGTAAAGTTTTCTTTATTTATCTCTTTTTTATGCCTAATTTCATAGAGCGTGAAGTATTGATGCCGAAAAACTATTGTTTGATTCAAATAAAAGACATGTTTCCATTATTTGAATAACTTCCGATAGAAACAAGATAGAGACCTGTGATTTTCATCACTCAAAAGATCAGCCTTTTGGTAGCAATTCTTTACTAGATTTCAGTTGTTAATAATACATATAGATATCATATATTACTTCGACTTTTCTATATCCATGCCGTTTTTACAATTTATATGGTAAAATACATTAAGAATGAGGCTAAACATCGCTATATATAATTTTAACTGACTAAAAAAAAATATATTTCTGATGCAATCAAAGAATACAGTATTCGAGTAGAGAAGATACATTGTGACAAAGTTGACATTTTACGACAAACGTGCTATTGTGTAAATAAGAAATTTTCAAATTGGAAAGTGGTGTTACGATGTGTATATTGCTCGGTAAATCCATCACTCCTGAAAATCATATCCCATGTCGTCGATAACGATTAAATAGCGGCGTTATAACGCCGCTATTGCGATCGCACTGTGACCCCTTTTAGGGATCCGCTGCGCTGTTATTGGGCGCTATAACGGCAATATGAACCGATATTACGCGCTATAGCAGCAACACGAACCAATATTGCACGCTATGACGCTACATCTTTCACTATTTTGGTACTTCTATACGCCTGCATTCTGCTGGTTCATATTTAAAGGTTTGTTTCCAAATAAGTTCCATGATTTTCTTTCAAATTTTATTTGAATATGTAAAAAAATACATTCAATAAATATTAACAACAAAAAAAAAACGAATTCTTATACAAAAAAAATTTATTCGTGTACAAAACCAATTTATTCGTTGTGCTTGATAAACCTGATTTTTGTCACCGCCACTCTCCTCTTCGCAAGAAAAACTTCACAAAGCCATTCATTAAATATTTGTTCTAATTGATCATTAGTAAATTTAAACTTAAAACGAACAGCTTCTAAAAATAAAGAATTACGATTTTAACATGAGAACTGAATTATTACCTTTTTATCAATTTATATCAATTATCATTATAAGTATCAGCTGGTTGTAATGCAACCAGCTCTTCCTTAGTGTACATCAACTGGATGAATGTTGTTACATAAAGATTTGCTTTATCTTTTGTCCCAGGAATTTTGAGTAAATCGACACCAGGTTCATTTTCAGATGATTTAAAAATCTAGATATAGAAAATAGAAGTGAGAATATAATCGAAGATCATACTCACTAAAGATGAAGAGAAACTTGTATAATGATTGTCAACACTAGCTGGTTCTTCAAGGAAAATGAGTACCTAAATTAAGTAAGATATGTCACAGTTCGCATGAGATTTTAAGTTACGATTACAATGCGCGAAATAATGAAAAAAGAAAAGAATAAAAAAAATACAAAAATGTTTTTTGCTTGCTAAAGCTTTGATAACGAGTGGAAAATTTTTCATTTAAATGATTCTTCATGAATACAATTATATGAAATACATTTAAAAATATATATTAATTAATTAATTTTTTTTTTATTTATTAATAAAAAACTAATGAAAGAGTTTTTAAAATATTTTTAACGCTGGTTTTTGTTCGCGTGAGTCATATTATGATTAAACTTCACTATTAAAGAGATAGCGGAAAAAATTTTTCTTAATAAACATTAAGAAATCACTCAATGTCTCCATATTCCCAGCATTTAAAAGATACAGAGAAAATTTATATTGATCGCAGAAAAAAAACGAAATACTTGATCATTATAAAAGAAACAAATGTATTTTCAATCAAAAGTAACTCTTTATTGAATTTTATCATATCGCATCAGTTAGAAAAAATAGAGAAGATTTATATTCGCTGTAGAAACAAAGAATAAAAACAGTGTCATTATATAACAAAAACCAATCTATTTTTTAATTGAGTTTAACCAATCTTTCAATGTTCCCATGCCTCCATCGTTAAAAACAATATACAGAGAATTTAAACTTTTTGTAGAAAAACAAACAAAATAGTCACTGTAATAACAGTGCTTGTAGTTTCATATGTTCACTGTGTTTCTTATAATAAAATTATAAAAATACTACTCCAATCTCAAGTAGCTTGTAAACTCAACTGTCACATCAATAAAACTTTCATTTTAGTAATTGATCCATGCTTTGAGCAACAGTTTTTAGAGTTTGTTTAAGAAGGAAATTTTTGTAATATGATAATTCTCTTTTGTTTAAAGCCTTTTGAATCTACATTTGATTCTTATATAAAGACTTCATCGTCATTTCTACTCTCTCTTAACCAATCAATAATGGTATAAAGCTTCTTTTTTCACTGACTGAAAACAACTGTCGTTATCCATCAATCTATTAATTCTAGTATCGATCGTAACAGCTTTTAATTAATCGACAACCATTAAACTTAGATTGTTTAATTGGTTCAATTGATCGAATAAAATTGTCTTCATCGGATTCCGTATTAGATGATGACATATCGTCATCGCCTTGTACTTTTTTAGATTTTTTTCCCTTTCATGGTGATGAAAATGAGTCAATAACTGGTGGTTTACGTACATTGATATTCGAAATAGAATTTAATGTTGGTGTTCCTTATGCCAGCATTAAATCACTAGCAATTATTGATGAAGATAACGACATAGATTTTGGATCAGTACAAGAAATAGAGGCGATTGTTGTTGCTTAGCATCGTATATAATAAATAATAAAATAAAAACAGAATGTATGTACATGCTGTATTTGTTGCATTTGTATCGTCATTACTTGTCGGATAACATTCATTACGAGTTCGTTGCCCACCTATAATGTCAAGAATGAATAATCATCTTCCTTACGAAAATGAAACAAAACTTTAGCTATCTTGCTTCTATCACCACCCTTCACTCGAATCAGAGTTACAATATTGTTTATATCTACAAAATTCAAAAGTAAATTGAAACATTGGGTTTCAAAGATTTAGAAATCGGCATGACTGTTCATTTTCTGTTTTATCTTGGGTTGATCAATAAAAAAAAGAACCAAAGGCGATAATTCCTTTTAGGTCACTTACTTGAATTAGGCAACGTATGTCGAGATGACCAGTCATTAAGATTGCTTGTAGGAACATCAATTGAAAATGGTGCGTTCTTGAGAGAATTAAATTTTTTTTTCTAAAACAAAACAAATTAATATGCATATAAAGAAAAAAACTAAATATACTAGGCACATTCGAATGGGAGTCCGGAATTTCGGTCCAAGAATTTTTCGTCCCAAACTTTTCGGCCCGGTCCAAAATTCCGGTGATTTTTCGGTCCAGACCGAAAATCCGAAAGAAATCTCGGTCCAGTTCTTAATTTAATTTAATTAATTAATTATTAATTAGTAAACTTCATAGGGCTGAGCACCATGACTTTTCAAAAATTCATTTGGCTGAGCAGTATGGCATTGTGCTGAGCAGTATGAATACTCAATAAATTATCTTGCTAACCAGTACGAAGAGTCAGTAAATCATCTTGCTAAACAGTATGACATAGTGCTGAGCAATATGCCGTAGTGCTGAGCAGTATGATATACCACTTAGCAAGATGATTTATTGAATATTCATACTGCTCAGCACTATGCCATACCGCTCAGCAGAATGATTTTTTGAAAAGTCATGGTGCTCAGCACTATGAAGTTTACTAATTAATAATTAATTAATTAAATTTATTTAAGAACTGGACCAAGATTCCTATCGGACTTTCGGTCTGGACCGAAAAATCACCGGAATTTTGGACCGGCCGAAAAGTTTGGGACGAAAACTTCTTGGGCCGAAATTCATGTAACCCCATTCGAACTGGTATCTTTTGATGATATAGTTTATTTTCCTCATTTATAATCACTCTGTCTTCATGT